CTGGGTCGTAAAAAACGTGTCGGTTTAAAGTTTGTGAATGGAAAAGAAAACAAGTACCTACCACTTGTTTTTGTTTGGAAAAGAAATTTATGCGCCACCCTTTGACAAATCTCGTTTTTTGTGCGCACTTGTCTAAGCAGTCTTGTTACTATTAAGTGTGGCCTCCCCATCCGGTTTATGGTAGCTCTTGCTCATCTAAATGTTTTGCTGACAGGCCACATATGATTGTAGCTGAAGTTTGTTTGTGTGACCTGTCAGACACCTCACAACGAGGATATGTGTAGGCGGGACGGGGTTTTGTTCATCCACTCGGGTATCTGTTTACTGCTTTGTAGGCTCCGTCACGTATAGGGCAGTTCCAGGACTTTTATAAAATCAACTGCCCATGGCCTTAGAATAAATTTTTACTTTCAGTTTGTTAATTCAGAATAGTAAAAAATAGACTGGGAATCGTTCTCTGGGACCAGTTGTTTATTTGACCTACGTTGCGAACTTTCACGCGAGTCCATTTTAATATAACAAAAAAGTTTACAGCTCGCTGCCTATTTAGCTCAGCTCTGCCAGGAGTGACCTTGAGATCTGCCATCGATTTGTTCGTGCGATGCCAGATACGCATCCGGGAGATCAATAGACCTATTAATATAATCCGTTTGTGAGTGCCATACCTCCTGCAGCAGGCGTGAGATTCGGTCGTCCGATTGAACCACTATTCTGGCGCGTTCGAAGTCGAAACCGTACCCTGGCGTGGATACGTGAGCGATTACCAAGGTAAGCTTGTCCTCCCGTCGCACGTGAGAATGCGGATGTGGAGTTAGGAATGAAACACGCGGGCCTAGTCAATATGGGACACTTGCACGTTAAATATAAGTAAAATACTGTGCTCTTCTCAATCACTAGATCAGCCGATTTCTGCTTTTCTGGCTAAACCTCAGCGTGGTGTGAAGATTAACCTCTGCCATTATTGTTCTGTACTTACACAGCTAATACTCCTTCTAGGGAAAAAATCTATGGAGTAAGCTGAACATATCCCTATAGACATTATACTCTACCAAATATTTTCAAGCGTTGAATGCTTAAACGTATCATCCCTCGTGTAAGCTGTAGGTATGGGTTTGCTGCTATTTTACTGGGTTCCTAACTGGAGGCGACCAGACATATTACGGAATATGTGGCCGTCACGCATGTTGTACGCGTAGAGGTTCACTTTACGGTAAGTTTCCCACCACATGAACAGCCAACTTTTGATTTTGCGTTTGTGGTGTTAGGTTAGGGCAGCTCAGTTCAACTTCTATTTTGTCGAAAAAGTAATCGAATAGAAAATGTTGTCTTTAAGGATTCCTGGGGTGCTGCCTAAGGCGACAAAACAGCCTCTAGCTAAAAAAACTCCATGCACACATCCCAAATGACTCAGACGAAGTGCGTGCTTTGAACAGCTGACGAGGGTTCTAGTGAGCATCCGAAAGGGCTGGCCGATAAATATATTTTTCCAGTGATCCCACCTCCGTCTTCTATACTCAAAAAGTTTTTGTCTAAAATCTAAAGTTTCGGCAACTTATTGATTACTTTAGTGTACTGACAGCAGAGCTATGAACCTAAAGACCAGACACGTGTTCCCTGATATTCTGCTGCTGCTTGACATTGTTGTGAGGGTTTCCCCTAAATTTACTCTATGCTTTACTTAGTACATCAGTTGCAAACTTAGCAACCGTTCAATTTGCTCAAAAAAGATTTTTTTAGCTTGATGCAGGTAAGTATATTCGAGGTCTGCTGCTACAGACAGAATGGCGATGTAACTACTAAAAGCGAACTCCATTAGCCACCAGGGGGTAAGCACGTAATGTTCGCTAACTGCCCACACGCAAAAAGTAGTTGCTAATACTTATGCTTTTTTGGCAAACATAATTAATTCAAAACCCTTCACAGCTCTGGCGTTTTTTTCACATTCGTTAATATGATCTTCTTACTTCTAAATATAAC